TGTCTCACCCACATTGAGGATGCTTTCTACGCCCATGTTTTATTCCATGTGTCAAGTCAGGCAAATTGGGTCAAAATGTTATTGTATCAATGATCTGTTAACATTAAAATCACTAAATATATGCTTTAACTATCAGGTAATTTGATTACTATATGAATAATTGTCCAAAATAACATAAAATGCATATGGTTTTTTGTTAAGTACCATACATTCGTCACCGGCCGGCCGATACATGCCGCGCATTAAGTGGGCCTGTCTGTCAATTAATCCCCGGGCCACTTTTTCCCCCCAGTCCGCCTGGCTAACAGTACAGCTTTTATCTGGGGCGTTAATGTTCTATCTGGGCTTTATCTTTATACATTAAATGTTTTTATCTTAGTGGCCATGCTTTCCTAAACATACAGTTCAGTGTATCATTTGTTTGTCAAATTATATTTTTCTTCCTGTTTGTGTGTTTTGCTAATATTAAAAGCTTTTAACTTCTCTCTCTCTACACAGTCTGGCGGCTTTAATCCTGTTATTGCATCCTCCATGTGTATTTATTCACAATTTTTCTGCTGTTTTGTGTTTACTGAATAGACTTTTTGTTAACTGATTAACATCATCAATTGCTGATTACTAAGTGCCTCAGTGTCAAAAGATGTCTCCCTGAAAGGAAATAGATGCATATAATTTGTTGCATCGTAAAAGATTGGAATAAACAAGTGTGCAGAACTTTTTTGATAAAGCAAACAATAAAAACAATCTACCTTGAATCTAAGGTAATGGTGACTGCGCAACTTCTAATAAAAAGAGAGCTCAAATGTATTCTTTCAAACGTGTGCTATTTGAAGCAATGTATCAAAATTAACTAAATAGGCCAAAAGGGTTCTGCCAAGGATCTAGCTACTTTGTGTGTACCTTTGAAAAAATTTGACATTTTCCAAACGTAATAATAAAATTGCCTCCTATTAGATGGTGCAAAGCAACATGAAGGTTTTTTGATTGGTTTCTTTCAGAAAACTGTAAATGACTTTACATTTATTCCACCCAAGGTTACTGTCTGTTATATATTAACGGGAAAGGAAGAATTCAATAGCCTTTTAATAAGATGATTATTCTTTAAATGCTGTAAAATAACCAAGTTATTTCCCCTGTATTGATAACATTGAAAGAGATACTGTATAAGGAACAGAAAAAAAAACTCTAGAACTCGCACTGAACTTGCATGCATTCAGTCAGCATTAGTTTTTCCTTTCTCCAAAAGTATTTATTTCGATGCACTGTAACTTTCAAGGTGAGTTGGAACTTAAATGTTTGTCAGTTATTCAAAGCTCTCACATTAGGGAAAGGTTACCTCTGCATAAATGATTGGTATGCCTCCAAACAAAAAGTTAAATCGACATAAAAAAGACAAGATAATAAAAGGATGTCGCAGGAATAGTTTGACATTTGGGAATATGGAGCCAGCCGCTTAGGCTCTATTCTAAGGTAACAAATGCCATAGAGTGGTGCAGAGATGACATTTTTTTGTAGGCCGACCAGAAGTAAGTATTGCTAGGGGTCCATTGACAAAAAACACATTTTCCCCATTGGATTTAGTTATATTTCAGAAATAAGGTTTGTGGCCAACACACGTTGATAATACTTAACACGTTTTGTTCAGCAGAATAATCTCCACATATTAAAACAACTTTATGATTTTTGAAGCTTAAACTCAGTAGGCAGAAATAAAAAGCAAACTCAATGCTCGATAGCATAGTTGCGTGTCACCACTAAGCTAAAGGCGGACACGTGTTGGCGTGATGACGTTTAGTAGTCTCATTCAGTCATTTTTTTGCAACCTCTGTTTTTATGACACATAGAAGCTTCGGACATTCATGTGTGTGGTACTGAAAGCAATTCTAGAACCCTGAAGGCAGGAGAGACTGAAAAGAGTCAAGGGAAGCTTATAAAAGTTAACAGCATTTAATTACACAAAAGATGCGGTGGTGTACAAAATGAAATGTGTGAGTGGAGGCGCTCTCCACATCCAACGACCGGTCAGTTCAGGTCAGGGGGTAGAAGAGATCAATTCTTGGCTTGCTCTTCCTGTTGTCATCTGAGGTCTTCTCCTATTGGCCGGCGTCGTCGGGGGGCGGGTCCAATGCAATTCCTGCCTTTTTCTGTAGCTAAATTGCATCATTCTGGCGTCTGTGGTTATTTAAACATTCCCTGCTACACATTATTCAGCGTCAATAAATGAGTGCTAATCCCAGTGTGCTCAGTGTACAACATCACATGTCATTTCACCTTGGTTCAAGGTTTGAAATCGTATGATTCCGCCAGATGCTAAATGCTAACCGGAAGTGACGAATTTTCAGAATAAAAGTGTTAAGCTAATAGTGAGAACTTCCGGTTTTTCAGAATAAAACGGATTTAAATCAAATAGTGTATTTAATTCAAATTACGCCATATCAACATTGATTTTAATTTCTAACAGTACCTATACCTACTGACATATTTTATGTTGAAAAAACATGAAAATCGTGTTAACGTGTTAACCACAGACCTCATTTCACCTTTCAAACCACAAACGCATTGAAAAAAATATTGACTTTGAGACATGGGAACCAGAAGTTGTAAAAAGTATTTTTCGGGTTTTAGGACTCATTACTTCAACACTTTATTTAACAGCATGTCTAAAGCTTACACATTAATACATTATGGTTGCTGGCTTTTTTCTATTACATTTTTTTTATATGGGTTATGTTCCACAACTTCACAGTGACAAAGCATCTCAGTTGATTAAGCAGTACCAGGAGTGTTTAAAAAAACATGTTTCCTCTGATTTGCATAATGCAGGTTAGGCCTATAGTGGGTTTGTTTGTTTTTTGCGATATTTTTGGAGAAACATAAGCTATTAAGAGTTTATGAGAAGTGCTAGTACTTCATCAGAGTCCTTAAAAACAATGGATTGAACTTGATCGCACTTAATAATTATCCGTTGATGGCAGGAAAGTGCATTTTTGCAACATATGTGCAGTTATTCAAAGTCATCTTAAATAAAAGCAAGTTTAATTTCTTCTGGTACCTTTTCCATGCACAGATGTTCCTGTCCTGTTGTGTGACAGGCTTTCATTATTCTAGGTCATCCCTCCAATGCTCTAGTGTGACTCAAGAAGGAAAGGGCATGTACAGGGAAAAAGCAAAAATAGCAGCTGGGCCACAGAAGCCAATGCTTTGACAAAGCCTCGGACATGTGTGTTTCCTGACCTGAATAACCAAAAGAGCTGCGGAGCGCTCAACCAGCTAGGCCCCGGACGGAAAAACAACACAACTTTTCTTTCACATCCATCGACTCTTTTCATTTGTTCGCCCAAGTTACTGTAGCAGCATATACTGGTTTCTTCAACAAAAGAGAGGAAATCATTCATTTATTTTAATATATCTCAGCGTTGAGATCATGTTTAATGTGCTGAGACAATCTCTAATGTGTCCCGGCCCCCCCTCCTCACGCTCACATAAAAGCGCGGGAGCATTAGCTGTTTCGTTTCCAGGCATCTTTTCTGCGACGCTTGTCCAATTACTCACACCAGAGAGGTTTCGCTCCAATCGCTCTCTTCACTTTCGGGGTTAAATGGAATTAGCTAAGCCGAGACCTCATCATCACCCGTTCAATTTTGCCC